TTTTAATCACTCAAGTTAAAAAATAATTCTATTATTTTTTATCTACTATCAAAAAATATAAAAATATTACATCAATAATTCTATTATTTTTTTTTATCTACTATTTTTTAAGTGAAACTAAAACACACCAACAAGGATTGATTCAAGTGGTAAGCAGCTTGTTATTGCTTAAGCAAGATACTGAGTTTGAATCATTGTGTACACACACAAAAATTTCTGTAAAGAGACTCACCCACCAAAACTAGGTGTATATCACGGGTCTGTTCAAATTAATCAAGATGAAGCCTTGGAATTGAAAGGGCAACAAAAAATTGAAACTAAAACATAATGCTAGATACCAATTTGAAACAATTAATAATTAAGTGATCAAAACAATATAAAGTGATGAGATTTGAGGATCAAAGAAATCAAACGAAATTGTTGCAAAGAGGGAGTGAATTGACCTTTTTAAATTTTTGAGAATTAAGGAGAAAGGATAAGAAAATTGGCTCAATGATTTATAGTGGTTCAACTTCCTCAATCAAGTCTACATCCACCACCTTAGCTCATCACTAAGGATTTCTAACAAATTCACTAATTTGTTCTTTCTTTTTCTAAGCTCAAGAGTAACCTTTACAAATTCTCTATCTTCTACAATGGCTAAGATATAACCAAAACTCCTTTCACAAAAGGATAAAGAAATGTAAACAAAAAAACCTCCAAAAGGTAGGTGTTTACAATTTAAGCTCACAAAAACACTCTAAGGTGTTTACAACTTAAGCTCACAAAAGCACTCTAAGTACAAGAGAAAATGAAAAATAAGATTGAAAGAGCTTTTATCTTGATATGGATTGCTTGGATAGGTGTTGTAACATTCTTCAAGTGTCCTCAACTTATTTTTATATGTTGAAATGAGCTTGCAACTATTTCTAACCGTTGGAGATGTTTTGAAGTCATTAGAACCCTTAATTTTGAGCATTAAATGCTCACCTGCAACTTTGGTATCGATATTGTGAATTTGGTATCGAGGTCGAGCATGAAAAACATTAAAAAATATAGTCGTTGAGGCCTCAGTATCGATACTATTAGAAGGAGTATCGATACTCACCTTCCAGTATCGATACCATACCATGGTACCAATACCAGAAAAGCCTTCTGGAAAATCAGTCTTGAGACTGAAATGTTGGTCTCGAGACTGGTTAGGGTTATTGGCATTTCAAGAGTTTTGAACTTTAGAACAATGTTTAAAAGTTTGAAAAAGTGAAGAAAATATCTTGAACATATTTTTCAAATTAATTTGGACTTTGAATTATTTTTGAATCATTTGAGCAAATTCAATTTAGTCCAAAAACATTTTTCCCTTATTTGTTATATCAAAATATAGGTTCAACAATCTCCCTCTTTTTGATATAACAAAACCTTTGAAAAATAGATTTTGGCAAAAGCCCCTATTAAAACAAGGGTTGAATAGGAGAATTAATATGAAAAATATTTACGCTCCCCTATTTCATTTTTGAAATTGAATTTTTCAAACAAATATTTCTCTCTCTTTTTGTTATGTCAAAAATAATTCAAACATTTAGGTTCAAAAATAACAATGGAGAGTAAGCAGAAATTTTAACATAAAACTTATTTGAAAAATCAAAAGCTCCCCTCAACAAATGTATTCTAAAAAAAATTTGACTTTAAAAGTTTGACACTTAAAAAAAATTATTGAATTTCAACAAAGATGAGCAAACATGTTAGTAACACATGAAATTCAATAAATCCAAGTCTATACTACTTTATGCAATATTAATATTAGACATTAAAGTTCATATGAATGTTATACATTTGAAAATATTGATATTAATTGTTAGAGACACAACATTTGTAATAAAACCACATGCATAAACATTTTAATTTGAGGTCAAAAATAAAAGTTTGTAACAAAAGATAAAACATTAAAAATATATTTGACCAAAAATCATTATGATGAATAAATTTTTTTATGAAAAATCATTAAAACTTTAAAATGTTCACCATAACACATTTTAACATACATGAGATGGAGAAAAAAAGTGACATATAATCATTTATGTTCGAAACTCATACATACATAAAACAAAATAAGCAACCAATATATAAAAACAAAAACATTAAGCTTAGAGGTTATTCATTCCTCGTTTTGTGTGGCTAGAGCATTTGAATTTCTTCACTTGTGACATCATTGCTCCCACACACATAGAAGAGACATTCATTTGAATTTTGGTATCCAAATTGCTTTGGATCCTTGATTGTTACTACAAATGTCCCCTGCTTCCTTAGGACTCCATACTTGTCTAATTTAAAATGTTTTCTAAGTTTTAAAGGATAAGAATGTTCAATGTGATCATGAAAATGACAATGTGAGCATTATGTCATTTTCAAAGACGATGAATTATTTTGAGAAATTATTTATTTTTCTTTTGTTAAGCATTCAAGCTTAACTTTTAAATTAAGATTTTCTTTTTCTAAATCATTGATTTTGAATTTTAAAACCTCAAAATCATTTTTCAAAATTTCATTTTGTTTTTCAAAATCTATTTTTGTTTTCGAAAGAAAATCATTTTCAACTTTAAATTTTGAAATTAATTTTTTATATTTGGAATTCATGGTCTTAAATTTCAAATACAATTCATCATAGGCTTATTGTAACTCTTTAAAAGAATAAGAATTTAAATCATAAAAGTTGAAAGTTACCCTTGAATCTTCTTCGATGGCCATGAGACATAGATTAGCAACTTCATCTTCATGTTTTGAGTCTTCTAAATCACTCCAAGCCACCACAAATGCCTTCTATTTGCTTGATCCCTTCTTCTTTATGAGGGGATATTCGTATTTGACATGTCATGTTCTTTGGCCCTCAAAGCACATTGGGGGGCCATTCCTTTTACTCGATTCATACTTCATTTTCTTTTCATTTGGAATACATGAATTTGGAGAATCTTTTAAAGAACTTAGCCATCTCTTCTTTATCATAATCTTTTTCACTTGAGGTGCTTTCATTTTGGGTAGAGGATTTCAAGGCAACACTTTGTTCTTTCGTTTCTTCTTTCATCTTTTTTTCTTGTTCTTCCTCCTTTCTATCATCTTATGAGTGAGAAGAGAGCCAATAACTTCATCATGTGAGAGAATTTAAGTTTTTCGATTTGATGATTGTTGTCTTCTTCGATTGCCAAGACTTTGGAAGAAAATATATCATTTTCCTAAAAAGCTTCTCGTTAGGGGTGATCTCTCCATATCCCTTGAGATTATCAACAATCACGAAAAATCTACCCGACATAGCTTTGATGTCTTCACCCGGTTTCATCTTGAAATTCTTATAGCTATGTTTGAGAAGACCAATTTTAGTTTCCCTCACTTCATTGGTTCCTTCATGACTGACTTGGAGCTTGTCCCAAATTTCCTTGGCATTAGAATAAGAGGAGACTCTTACATATTCATCCGAGCCTAATGCACAAAATAGGATGTGCATGGTCTAGGCATTTTGTTGGAACTTCTTCTTTTCTTTTTCACTCCTACCTTCCATCTTATTGATTGGAGTTGAGCGACCCATTAGGGTAGAGTTCCAAGCATCTAGATCGGTGGCTTGAATGAAGAGCATCATCATATTCTTCCAATATGCATAATTTGCTCCATTAAGATAGGGTGTCTTATTAATCGGTTGAGAATCTTCGATGTAGTAATTGTCAGATGAAAAAGGCATATTCTTGGTTGAGTCAGAAATTGATAGAGCACTTCTAGGATCTTCATAAGGTTGTTAAACTGTCGATTGTGACCCGCTCTGATACCACCAATTGATGAGATTTGAGACTCAAAGAAATCAACCGAAATTGTTATCAAGAGGGGGTGAATTGAGCTTTATAAAGTTTTGGGAGTTAAGGAGAAATGAAAGGAAAATTGACTCAATGAATTATAGTGGCTCAACTTCCTCAATGAAGTCTACATCAACTACCCTAGCTCATCGCTAAGAATTTATAACAAATTCACTAATTTGTTCTTTCTTTCTCTAGACTCAAGAGTAACTTTTACAAGTTCTCTATCTTTTATAATGACTAAGATATAACCAAAACCCCTTTTACAAAAGGATAAATAAATGTAAATAAGAAAACCCCAAAAAAGTATTTACAAATGAAGCTCACAAAAATAGTTTATGTATTAGAGAAAAAGAAAAATAAGATTGAAAGAGCTTTTCTCTTGATATGGATTGCTTGGATAGGTGTTGTAACTTTTTTCAAGTGTCTTCAACTTGTTTTTATATGTTGAATGAGTTTGTAGTTATTTCTAACCGTTGGGGATGTTTGAGTCATTAGAACCCTTAATTTTGAGCATTAAATGCTCACCTGCAATTTTGGTATCGATATCAAAAAATTGGTATCAAAACCAAACATGAAAAACATTAAAAAATATAGTCGTTGAGTCCTCAGTATCGATACTATTTGAAGGAGTATCGATACTCACCTTCCAGTATCGATAACATATCATTGTACTGATACTAGAAAAACCTTCTCAAAAACCAGTCACGAGAACCATTTTAGTCTTGAGACTAGCTAGGATTTTTTAGCTTTAGAACATAATTTAAAGTTTGACAAAATTTAGAAAACATCTAGGACATATTTTTTCAAATTAATTTCAACTTTGAATTATTTGAGTAAATTCAATTTAGTCCAAAAAAACATTTTACCCTTATTTGTTATATTTAGGTTCAACATAAAGATAAAAGTTAAAGTGCTAACGATATTTTATATTAGGAGAATTTTTAAAATTTTTAAAAAAATCAAACATAGAATTCTATGTTGACAAAAATATATTATTAATAAAAATATAGAAAAATATTTGTGATATATGAGAATTTAAAATTTTTAGAAAAATTGATCACTGCTTAAGAGCCAAAAAAAAAAAAAAAACTACGTTGTGGGGATGGGGAGGAAAATACAATCTAATATTATTTTTGGCTTGATTCAATTCAACATATATATTAAAGAAAGATCCCCAAAATAATTTGTTTGCATAAAAAAGAAAAAAGAGCATTGATTTCCTATAACACTACCTCTCCAGAATATCCACCATGATCGTTCTGGTTCTCAACATTCTGAGCTTGCTCCTCTTCAAGCTCCTTTATTAGCTGTTCTATCTGTCTTCTATAAAAAGGCATGAAATGATCACTTATCATGCTCTGGGAAAGCCGCAATTTACTGTACAATGATCTTGGTGTAAGGAAGATCCCAATCTTAGGATCCATTGTTCTTAGCCCATTATCGGAGTCACTGGAGCTCGAACTATCACCTTTAGACTCCACCTCATCAGACTGAACTGTAATTATATGCATTATCTTTCCAGCAGGGAAAAACCGGTGCACTTCCTTTGTTTCTGGAACCGAAGTATCTGACTGCCCCTCACCTCTCACCTCTGCAATGGCTGCCTCTTCTTCTTCCCTTATTTGGTTAACAACATCAGTCTCGCCACCTTCAGGCTTATCGTAAAGCTCCTGCTCTAGTTGTTGCCACAACTCAACTTCATTCATGCGGTCGTCATGTGAGTTGTGGCTTATAAGCTCCTCACCATCTTTGAGATCAACGTCTCTATTGTGATGCCGTTCATCATCGGAACACGGATACTCGATTTCTGTAGTCCATTCAACTGATGAAGACACAGGAAGCTCTATGGTTTCTTTTGTACTTGAAGGGGCAGGTGTTAGAAGAGGCTTAAACGCTTCTTCTTTCTTGGGGCTAGATTCTATGGGACTTCCTTCTTCATTCGAGTTTGATCGAGCAGCTGAGCCACGATGACGGGGTACAATTCATTACCAGGAAGACAAGTCTATGGTGGGACGCCTCCATGCTGCATGAGCCATGCTCTGTGCTCTCCTCATAACGAGCTATAGATAACAATTCTAAGAGAATTAAGGTCGAAGAGATGAGAATTAATGTGAATTCAACTTGGATAGCTTTTTATAACTAAACAACGGGATCTAGTAAAAAACAGTTAATGGAGAAGTGAGAACAAGGTTCAGCAATTCAACTACCTGTGTATGCTCAATTGATGGAAGGCGAGAATCCAACGCTGAAGCAGATCGATAAACAGTACGTAGAATTCTTGTATGCTCAATTGATTCCTCAGATCATTCAGCCAATCATATGCCGTCACCTGAAATAGAAAAGCAGTTTCTTCATGACACATATTTGATATCACACACCCTTTAAGCAAATGAACCAGATACTGTCCAGAACAACATTTCAATGAAATCTTATTTGTTTCAACTTTTAAGCTCTCTATCAGGTATCAAAAGCCACAAACCACAATTCAATCACAACGCAGGGGACACGAGAGGAAGAATCAGAGAGAGGCAGACAACCGAAGGTGAGGCCAATAAGAGTTTTCAAGCCAATTATTTATTTGCTATTAAGGCCTTCAAAATCATTAACCATGTTTCATTGAAAAGGCAATAAAAGCTTAAGGAGGGCATGCATATCAAATAAAAAATGCAAGGTACTAATGACTTCTGCTTACAGTAGACATATCTCAGCATCCCTTTCTTTCATAAGGAGAGAATGTAATTTCTAAGCAATTGCTATCATTTACCTCAGCACGCAAACTAATTAGCAGATTATTGTCAAGCAAGCATATAAACAGAAAATAGCCACAGGAATAGTTTATAAAAATAAATTGCAAATTATGCCTTTACCTTAACCTTATAAGTTGGACATTGACCAAGCGCTTTAATAAGACAAGGAGCGGCAAGCTTAGCTATCCACCGAGCAGCTGCTACCATTCCACAATGTGCAAAACCTAAAACTAAATCACTCACTCCACCCTTTAGATAATGTTTATATAATGTTTTGCAATTGATTTAAAAGAAAAAATTTTGGTTTGCTATTTCGGTGGTCCCGTGTGACATCGTAATCCATTGATATACGGGTCGGACTGGATTAGGGTGTTACAAGTTTATTATTGTAATTATCTTTAAATATTTAAGGTATAACTATATTATTTTTGGGTCGAATTGAGTATTTTTCACACTAAACCCAAACATGACTAGATCTAAACTCATAATGTAACAACTTGGCTTAAAAAAATTCAATCGAATAAGAACAGGTTGGATTAGAACTTGTAGAGTTTAGGTCTCATGTTCATCCCTATTAACAAATATATTAAAATAATATTATATTCATTTTAATATCCATTATCAATTTTAAAAAATTGAGATTTATTTTTAATTGTGGAGAAAAAGTAAAGCAGATAAAAAAGGGAGAAATATGGGATAAAATTAAGAGGTTTCAATTTAAAAGGTTAAAGAATATAAATGATATTTATTATACAAAATAGAATTTTTAAAACCCAATATTTTAATTGTTTGACATATAATATAAAAATAAAAATAAACGATTATTAATTTTAAATATTAATATAGTAAAGCAGTATAATATGACACAGATAAAAACAATAATAAATTAAGGGTAAAGTATATTATAGGTCATTAAACATTATTCAAATAATTGCTTTAGTCATTAAACTTTTATAAGTTACAAAATGATCAATAAATTTATCAATAAAGTGGTAATTGGATTTTATCAAACTGTTTATAAAATTATCACTAAATTGTCATCAAAATTGTTACTTAATTTATCAAACTTTTACACTATTGTAATGTCGTGGTGATCATTTTATCACGGATCAATACATTTAATGGGCAAAATGATCATTTGAACATGGTTTAGTGACCTATGGTAGATTTTACCCTAAATTTTATGAAATAACCATAGAAAAATGGTAAAGTTTTCCTTATAAATTTCTATCCCAATCAACTCAACTAATTTCCAATTACAAACATTAATAATTTTTTAAAAAAATTATAAAAATATATATGTTTTCCGATCATTTTATATTTGTTAAAAAATAATTTAAATTAAAATTTTAAAAGAAACCTTAAAATAAATAAATATTGTTTCAAGAGTTCTTTTTTTTAAATTAAGAGAATTAATATTTTTAAGTGTGAATTCAATCTTTCATGATGGTGTTAATCATATATGGATAGGGAAGAAACATTCACTTACATTAATATAAAATTAAGCGATTTTATATATTCGTAAATTTAACTACAATTAGTTTTTTTTTTAACAATTTAATTGTTAAACTTATTAATATTATTGGAGTTATTGTGATTATAAATTTTTGAATCAATATGATAATTTTATCATGTTAATACACAATAATATCTTTTTAATTTAAAAAGTTTTATATAAAATAAATAACTAAATATTTTAAAGTTATTCAAAACATGACACATATAATCTACATAAATAAAACATAAAATTTGATGAAAAAATTATAAAAATATTAATTATAAAAAATATACAATTCATTTAAATTTAGGGTAAATTATATATTTAGTGCCTAAGCTATCACTTTTGTTCCATTTTAGTGCCTAAGCATTCATTTCTTTTCAAAATCGTGTCTAACATTTAATTACTTTTTGTTTCATTTTAGTATCCAGCTATTAAAAACTACGGAACTACTGTACTTGACATTTTTTCTGGATAAATTATATCATTTATCTCAACTATCTTCCCGTTCTTATTTTACTGACTAAAATTTAATTTTTTTAATTTAAATACTCAACTTTTAAATTACACTTGTTTAATCACTTTAATTTATTTTATTAATATTTTGATGACATGAAATTTATTATTATTATTATTTTATTAATATATAATTAAAATAAAAAATAAATTTGAAATTATACCCAAAACGAAAAAATAAATCACAAACCCAAAAAATAATCACAAACCCTCATCCCACCTTCATAGTCTCACTCTTATCAGACCCTCCAACTCGTCCCTTTCTTTTTCTTATTTTAATCATAAATTAATAAAATAATATTTAAAAGATATCACGTCATAGAAAATATTAATAAAATAATTTAAAGTGATTAAAATATGAGTAATTTAAAAGTTAAGTGATTAAATTTAAAAAACTAAACTTCAATTATCAAAATAGGAGTGATAAGATAGTTGAATGGTGAATAATATAATTTACTAATAAAAAATATCAGTTATGTTAAGTTTTTAATGACGATGTATTAAAATGAAATAAAAAAATAAATGTTAAATATGGTTTTTAAAAAATAAAAATTAAAATATTAAAATAAAATAAAATAAAAGTGATAATTTAAGTACTAAACCTGTAGTTTACCCTTAAATTTTTATATGCATCACAACGCGATTTAGTCGAAACTAATAAAATATGTTATGGTGTCGCATTCTTCCATCATTTATCACATCATAGGTGGGGTCTTCACTCTTATACAGTTGTGTATGCCCCTCTTGAAAATGATTGCTGACGTTGTTTTTGCATGATGCTTACTGCACCTTTTAAAATTGTTATTTATTTTAGATATTGTGAATAAAAGCCTCAAACATTATTTTTTATAAGATATATTTGATTTGAACATTTTTCGATTCGAGTCAAATTGTTCGAATTTTGTTTAAATTTAATTATAAATATTAATAATATTATGATACTGATTGATTCTAATCTAAACCTATAAATTATTTCTTTCTTTGCTCTTTCTCCTTTGTTTTCTTATTGCTGATATTAGTTATATGTGCAAAAACATAGAAAGGTAAGAAACGGATATTATATACGGGATGGTAATTTAATTCGAATCTGATGAGTTTCGACTCAATTCGATTAGATAGGGTTGATTTTTTTATATAAAAAATCATGTTCAGATTGGGTTAGGTCAGATTTTTTATTGGTTGAAGCGGGTCAGATCGGATTTAGATAGAGGGTGAAAAAACTCCGACCCTACTCAACTCGAGGATACCAATGTAATTTTATGAAAATATTTATTATTATTTTAATTAAATACTTAATTTATACTAGGTTAGGTCGGTTAAGGTCTGATTTATAATCTAAAAAATCGGATCGGGTCTGAGTCGGGTTAAAGATATATATTTTTTTTGAGTCGGATCGGATGTATAATATAAATTTTTTGGGTCATGTTGAATTCGAGTGGATGATACATGTTTTCGGGCGGGGTTGGATTAGGACATAAATTTTTTGAGTCAGATTGAATTAAGGTAAAGGATACCTATTTTCAGGTCGGGTTGACCAAAAACTCAATCCTAACCCGACCTGTTGTCATCCCTAATTATATCTAATAAATTTTGAAGACTAAATAAATTATTTTACAAAATTAATAAACAATTATTTTATCGCTTGTCATTGATTTAACAAAAACAAAAAAAAAAGTAAATGAAGAGAAACAAAATTGTATTAAAAAAATATTGAAGTGTGATCTTTATTTATTTATTATTTATTTAGTTCATGTTTATAAAGACATGAAGATAAGAGAATTTATCACTCTTAGATAAACAAAGAACTCGTTTAAGAGCTACCAGCGAGCATTTGAAGCATTCTCATTTAGCACAATATCAATTATTTATTGCCAAATCTATTCCTACCATTTAAAGTTGTTCCAAGCCATCAATAACTCAATTTCAATTTTGAGACAACTAATCATTTAGATTAGGTGAATTTAAGGGGTATATAACCAAGATAAACCAGGGTAGGTGGGAGTAGTCGTCTCCCTGAAAATTTAAAATTACTTTATAGTTTAGAATTTTTTATGCATTTTCTATTAAAAATCTGTTTTAGCCTCTAGAAACTTTGTAAGTTCAAGTTCGCCGCCTGAAATTTTAAAAATTTAAATTTACCCCTAATATAAGATTTTGTATTCGTCCCCGAGTATAATCAACTATATATTTTGTTTATTTTTGTAAATAAACTAATAAAGACAATAAAGATAGTCTAGGAAGAAAATAAGAGAAAAAAGTTTGTATTTGTGTTTATGTTTTTTATTTGGTGTACTATATATGAAAATAATAATTCCATAATCGATTTTAAGATGTTTGTATTCATGTTTAGGTTTATTACATTGGTGTACGACAAAATTGTCGATGACTTGAAGGCAATTTCGGTAAAGTTGTCTGACAATTATCAAGGGTTTTATTCTAATTATTTTTACAATTT